AAAAAAAAGGAGCAGAGATGGGAGCTACGTACCAGAAAAAGAAACAAAACAGTAAAAGATACATGATCTTTCCTATTATATGGACCTAACAAATCACCTCGAATATACACACACTCTTACCTAAAGCAAGAACTAACAGAATGGCAGGAAAAGAGACAAGTCAACAAATACACTTGAATATTTTAACCCACTCCTCTCAGAAACCGCTAGAACAAGCAGACAAAAAATAAGCAGAGATATAACAGGTCTAAATAATACATTAACATGCTCGAACAAGGAGATACAGAGAGAACTCTACTCCCAAATAAAGAATACACATTTACTTTCAACTTTTATAACAAGTAGCCACACGCTAGACTAAAGTGTCAGTATAGTCCAAGGAATTAGTATCACAAGACTTCCTGCTTTGATCATAAAATTAACAAACAGTAACAAAATCAAAGTTTCTTCTTAATGCCTATGGCTAGAACTTAGGTGGAAAAGAATTTTTAAAAAATAGAACTGAATGACAATGAAAACACAACCTGTCAAATTTATGAGATACAGCTCAAGCATTACTCAGAGAAAAATGTATATTTTAAATGCATTCTTCTCTGCTCACTCTCTGAGGCTGAAATGAGCAAGTGTTTCCTTGAGAGTCACCCAAACAGAATACGAAGCACTGGGGGAAAACTCTCACAAAGTCTACAAGTATCTCTCTGGGGGCCTGATGGGTGCTCTGAGCCCAGGGCTCATGAGAGATAAACATAATGCTTCCAGTAGAAAGAAACCTAAAGGTACACCCACCTTTACTCACAGCTGGGTCAGTAGGTCTAGCCAAACTATTAACCACAGACGACTGTATGTCAGGAAAAAATAACATGGCCCTGAAAGCTACAAAAGTCCAGACTCTTCCAACTACCCATTAAATTGGATGTAAAAATCAACAGAGCCTGGAATCAAGTCTCCTAAGTGTCTACTAAGGACCTGGCTCCGCTGCTGTCATACCCACCCCCTGGGGAACCCAGAGCGAGCCCCCCCACGCTGTGAGATTGAGCACTCCCCGCGCCCCCCGGCCCTGCCGCCCAGTATCGCTGCCATGAGGATAAAACACACGTGCACAGAAGTACCTGATAGGGTAAGTCAGCCATCCTTAAATAAGTTTCCATCTTCAAACAGAAAGGAGATAAACTCGGGACACCATTGTTAGGTCTTGCAAACTGATGCAAAATAATAGCATCTTTGGAGTCAATCTCTTGCTGTTTCCTGTCAAAACCAAAACAGAGAAAAAGAACAATCCACACGTTATACACTCAGTTCCCTTAGTTCCTCGGAGGTCCCTGCTGGGCTGGAGCTCCTCAGCGAGTGAGCAGATCTGCTTGTCACAGGGGTTTACCTCGCCCAAGAGCACTCAGAGAGTGGAAGCTTGGTCAGAACACAAGAGGACCTCACAAACTCGGACGTTACCACGGCTGCGAGAGCTCAGGGGAGTCACTACACGTCAGCCTCCTCCCGGTCCCTGCGGCCTGTGGGCAGGAAGCGCACCTCCAGGTCAGGTCCACCTCTTCTCTAGCTGGCTGCCTACCCGCCAGGGACTAGCTGGATGGATAAACAATACGTCCTGTGCTTCCCGTGTGTCAGGCATCGTGCTGAGGGCTTCACGGGCATTACCTCATTTCATCTTCACAGTAGCCTTATGAGGTAGGTACGACTGTTTCCCACATTTTGTAGATGAGGAAACGGAGGCACAGAGGATAAACCTGCCTGAAGTCTCGTTACGAGTAAACGGCAGAACCCGGACTAAACCAGGCAGTCAGACTCGACGTTCTTGACCACTAGACTGCACCATGACAGTCTCCTCATCCACAGGGCCCTGGAAGAACAGTGCAGACCTACTCGGCCTCGACTCAGGCCTGCAGGCAACCTGAGACTGAATATCCGGTCCCTCTTCCAAAGCCTCACCTGGCCTGTCACTGTGGTGCCGAGGAACCCGGCTCCTGGGCACTCTCTCTCCCTCCTAACTTCGCAGGGGCCCCATGTTCACCACACAGCATATCCCCTATGCCTTCTCCCTTTCTTCTGTCTCAGCCACACATCTGTCTTTTCCTTTGGCTACTTTTTTGGGTGGGGAGGACTTCCCTGGTACAGTTTTTTCAGTAGCCACCATGTAGTAGAGCAAATGCTGGACTCCACGTCTGGACACCTGGGGTCGAGTGCAGGCCCTGCTTCCTATGGCTGCATCACCCTAGACCTCTCCTCCTCTCTCGTACAGAAAGTGAGAAGTCTGCCTCTATTATCGTGGGAATTAAATAATATAGCATCTGTAACCATTTGGTGAGCTATCAAGCATAAAGTGGTAGACTTAATTCTCAAAGAGATACGGGCTTGTACCCTCAAGCCGCAAAGTCTCATTCCACACAGCGCCACTCAGACAGACATCACATCCAGGGACCTTCCACATTCTCCATCGTTCACTCTACCCAACCGTTCCCCAGTCAGATAAGCCTCACTCTTCCCCTTGGCCTTCCCTGAGCTTCTGGTTCCCTCACATTGTTCCTAGTTTAATCCCACAAGTACTTCTACCCAAGTAGACAAGGGCAAGTTCTTCGTGTCATCATCACACGACGCTCACTTACTGCGGAAGCTCCGCTCAGTAAGACAAACTCTTTTGGAGAAGTTTACCACGAGAGTGCCCTTTCCACTTAAAGAGTTAAGAACGACTCATTTCAAAAAACAGTTGGTCAAAAGAATAAAAATATTTGCTGCCTTTGGACAAGACTTGCTATAAAACAAAAGTTTTCACTTAGATGAAGTGTTTGAGAGGTCAGATATTAAAAGTAAAGGAGCCATTTAGACTATGTTCCTAGAAAGTGCAAACTGTAGATTTGACAATTAACAGATTTTGTCCAGTCAAGTAATTCACGTCAGAGTGGTATTTTCATGTAAATGAGCCAGGCAAAAATTTAAGAACTGAAAGGAGAGGAGATAAATGCAAAATCCCTTTCTCCATTGGCCAGAGCAATCTAATTCTGAAGGTGAACTTGGGCCCTGACATAAGAATGGATGTGACCAGCATATGCCAATGACTCTGTGTACACCATACATATTAAATCATTTCATACTGACAGTAGCTCTACAGAGTGGATATTGTTATAGTTTAAAATTCGCATATTATACCCTACTTATATTTTACAATAGACAAGGAAACTGAAGCTCGGAGAGGTTAAGTAACTTGCCCAAAGAATATCAACTGAAGACCAAGTTATTCTCTTGTAAAATGATTATTAATCAATAAAAAATGTTAAAAAAAAATAAAAATAAAAAGACCAAGTTATTCTTAACTCCAGTTCCCAAGCTCTTAAGCACTTCAGCTACACCAAAATGGGCAAATCTTCAGTTACTTTTATTAAGGCAGCCAGTTGGGCTCAGACCACTCAAACCTGGAACTTTCTGATGAAAGTCTATAATAGCTAATGATAGCCAACTTTTATTGCCTGCTCACTATAATGTCAAACTCTGTGCTAAGCATCTCACATGTGTTAACTCACACAATCCGTCTCTGAGGAAGCCTACTATTATTATCCCCATTTCACAGATGAGAAAACTGAGTAGCCAGGCTTACTCTTAGGTCCAAGGTTACATGGTTGGTTAACAGCAGAGTAAATCTGAACCCAATCTAGCCCCAGAGCTCTCCCCACATGTCAGGAAACTCTAACGAAGGATCAGCAGAGCAGGTGATCTGTTTCCTGAACAGCTATACTTTATATAAAGTGTTGTTATAATGAAGTGTGTGTAAGAACACCTGTGGAGCAGCAGACTGGCCCCTATTCCCACAGTGAAGGATCTCACAGATGACCACGTCTCTGTAGATAGCTGCGGGGCTATTAGTTCATAGAGATCACATGACCCACGGGCTGCTCTGATTCCCTAAGTTTTCTAGGACAGGCTGAGCCGGTGTGCCAAACAAGCTATGCATAACAAGTCATTCCTGGGTCATTCAACTTACAAATACTATATTTCTGAATGCTAGACAGAATTTAAGAGTGCTGCAAGGCTCTCTCCTCTTGGGAAGAATAAAGTAGAGGTTTGGGATTATATTTCTTTAAAAATACTGTGAAGGGAAAAATATGGATAAAATCCAAAAGACTTACTTTGGTTATACTCATTAATCAAACTTCTTAAATAATTCTCACGTGTCAACTTTCCTTCCACTCTGGAGATGTACCCATAGATTAAGGTTAAGTCTATGCAGCAGAAAATCCAAGCACAGTGCTGAAGCCCACGATCGCCAGTGAACTCAGACAATGTAGCCATTTCAAGGGGCATCTTCCATCCCATATAGTTCAGATCGTTTCGTGTTTTTGCCTAAACCACACAGGCAACTGAAACTTGGCTTTCACTCAAGTGCAGGCCACTATCCTGTAACCTCTGAATCTCAGTACCCGACCTCCCTGGGTCTCCTTCCCCTATTCCTCTGTGCCCCTGGAGGCTGTCAAAAACTCAGGTCCCTGCCACAGGTCTGTCTTCCCTGAGCGGTGCCCCAGCTCTCCACACTCCGCTTCTTCTCCTCCATCAAAACTTATTCCGGAATCAGGAAGAAGGGATAAGAAATGCGGGCTCCACAGACACACGCTCCCAGATTTGATCCTACTACTCTTCCTGTGTGATCTTGGGCTACGAAAACTTCCTCATTTAAGACATGAGATCAAGCATCCCACCAGGAATAATGCAATTGCGTTGGTAAGGCACTTCTACGCTGAGCCCCAACTAAAGGCTCAAAAGTGGACAGGCATTTTTTTTATTTGCATTACAATAGGGTTTCCCAACTCAACTTAAACACCTGTCAAGAAATATAGGTGGATAAACTGTAATCCAAATAAGTATCCAAGTGGGCAGAGGACTCTTCTCTGTGCAGGGACCACACCTACTAGGGCGTGGCCTCTTCCCAGGGTAGGCACTGAGCTGCCCCCTCCCCATTTCCTCAAGGTCGTTTAAGCAAGGTTTAGACTCAGTCCTGTGAAGCTGTGCCTTCACTCCCTCCACGAAGTGGAAGAACTGGTGAGAAGCCACATGGTTCCAGATCTTCAAAAGGCTTTGGACTGGAATATAACTGGGAACAACTGCACAAATGTCTTTGTTTTTCATATAGCTTGAAACCTTACTTGAAATAGAGTTCTAAACCTAACAAAACTATAAAATAATCTAGAGAAATAATTCACTTGAATTTTAAAAATCTGTTTCAACTAGACTCAAGACACTACTAAGTAAGAGAATTCAGTGGTAAGCTTAAAATAAAACTTCTCAATTTCGGCTCTGTAATAGGAAAGCCAATACATTTGCCTAGACCTAAATGAGTCCCACCCTCTCAGAGACTAGGAATACTCAAAATACCTGTTAGGCTGTCACAATGTCCTCCTGGAATCCCTGCAGGCCTGCTAAAGGTCACCTATCACTGTCTTTGCTTATAAACCTATTGTGTAGGATTCCCCCACTGGAAAAATGCAGTGTAGATACATTTTTTCACTATTCAGAAAATACTGGCCAAGAGGGTCATTCTGAGCTATTGAAATCTGCTCTTTCCTGGTCATCTCCCAGTGACAGAGGGCTCAAACGCATGTTAATTTTGACCATAAACTGACGTTTCAATTAGCCAAACCACCGGTCCCAGCAGCCTGTGGTACTATCCTGGTGAAACAAAGATCTCCTGTCCGGCTGGATGTACCAACAGCAGGGGCCTCCATTTTCTGGTATCTCCAAGTCAATCCTGTAAACATTTTGCGGCAGGCAGCAGATGCAACTGTTTACGGCACCAGCACTGGGCAACTCCCGTGCACGCCCATGTGCTAGTCGTGTCCTCGGATTTCCTACTGTTCACACAACAATGGCATTTAAGCCTGAAGATGGTGCTTAGCTTTAAGTACCACATTAGCAGATAACCAGGTTAAGGCTGCATCAAAACTGCACACCACTACACTCCGCCATGCACCCCGAACAGGGACCCAGGGGTCTCCGGAGCTTTTGCAATTTCAGCCTTTTGATGATGTTGACACTTGGGAAGGGATAGTGGAGAACTAACCTTTAAGTATAAGATAAGGTTAGTAGTTAATATTACAGCGTTATCATCTATAAACAAAGAGGGTATTTCATAAAAATGTAAGTTAGTATTTCTACAAGGCCTAATTCTACGGTTGCAAATACACTGCATTTAGGATCTTCCTAAGGGCATTTCATAATAGACGATTATGCTCCATAACAATCCAGCGAATTTTGCTTTTAGCACCAAATGATTGGGAGACAAGTGTTCTTCCCTCCCAGTACCAGTAATTCTCCTGTCAACTCCAAACTGCCCCTCACGGCCAGGTAACCACGGACTGCCTCTGGCGAAAGGTAAGGACAAGACTCGGGCGTTTGGGCGGCATGACCGAGGGGCTGCCACGGGTCCCCCCTCGCGCCAGCCCTGCCCTGGCAGGTGCCCTTCTCTGCGCCCCTGCGCGGGGCCCTCTCTCCGGCTCACCTAATGACCAGGAGTTCGTGGAGCAGATACGCAGCTGCGGCCAGCAAAGCTCCCCCGGTCAAGTAAAGGGTTTTCTTCCACCAGGGATCGGAGCCCAGCCCTGCCATGATCCCACCGTAATCCTGCAAAGGGAAAGCGATGATGTCCCCATAAAAGGAGAAGGGCTCCTCGGACCCGGCCCACCAGCCGAAGAAGGAGACGCTCTGGTTCCAGCTCAGATCCACCACGCACGGCCTGGACGAGGCAAAGCCAACCCCCCAGTGCATGCTGCGCGGCT